ATTCCTCAAATGGTAAAGCTCTATGCACATACATCGTTGCTGCTCTGCTAGGTCACTACCCAGAAGAAGACACATCTGAGCAGAGGCGGTGAAATGTTTCATGCAACCATCACTTACCTAAGCTTCAAGCCATTAGAACCATTTCCTTTTCCCAAACCCTTGACAAAAATCACTTGACTACAGCCTAAGTAATTCCAATGATGGAAAATTTCATGGTTTTATACATGATGTTCTATTCCATTGCCAGAAATCTCCTCCTTTTCATCTCATAGTTTCTCCCTCAACCAGACACAAAACTCAAAGACCCTTATCTATCCTCTCCTGACTGTTGGTAATTCAAAGTCATTATGAAATTAATTGCCACTTACTTTTGGCATTAATTCAGCAATGCTATTGTATTGTTTACTTTTTCAATTGTTGTGACAAATTATCTGATGAAAAACATCTTAAGGAAGGAAGGTTTTTGCTTTGGTTCCTAGTTCTAGGGTAGAATCCATCAGCAAGAACTCAAGGCAGCTAGTCACATTGCATCCATAACTGAGAAGCAATGGATGCTGGTACTCAAATAGCTTGCTCCTTTTAGTTCAGTTTGAGACCCCAGCCCCTGAATAGTGCTGCCTACATTTAGAGAGGGTCCTCATACTTCAGTTAACCCAATCTAGACGTTTACTCACAAGTATGCCCCAAAGTTTGTTTCCATGGTGATTCTAAATCTCATATAATTAACAATCAAGATTAGCCATTACAGTTGTGATACATGCCAAAAACAAGGGCAGAATTAGAGCTAATACCTATCCTAAGGTAGGGTAACAGTCAGGGCAGAGAGAAAAAGAGAGAAAGGAAGAGAGTAGTAGTCATTTCAGATTGATGGCATTCGACACAGACAATTGGTTACTAAGAACACAAGGGTTAAGGCAACCAGATGTTGTCTACAAGAAATAACTACGGATCCTACAGCTGAGGCATCTCTGATATTGGGAATTATAGGAAGCTACCACCTCCATATGAAGAAGGTGGAATAGGCTAGTACTCTGGGACACCCTCCTGTCTCTCCCTGACAGAACTGTGATTTCAGTACTTAGATGCTAGGGATCCAAATGCAGGTCAGGTCATCATGCTATACAGGAAAAACTTTACCCATTGAGCCATCCCCCCAGCTCCAAAGTGTGTGTGTGTGTGTGTGTGTGTGTGTGTGTAGTGTGCTTGCATATGTGTATGTATTTTTACATGAGCATGGTTGCATGTGGCAGGGTGTATATGCAAGTGGGTGCATGTGCATGAAGAGACCTAAGATTGACCTCAGGTGTCTTCCTCAAATGTTCTGTACCTTATATATCGAGACCAGATCTCTCACTGAACCCAGAGCTCACCATTTTACCTAGTTAAGCTAGTAAGCCAGCTTGGCCCTCCGCCCCTTTCTCCACATCCTGCATGAGGGATGCAGTCTGGCCGATACACCCACTGGGTTTTTACATCACCTCTGGGGATGTGAACTCCTGTCCTTCTAGCTGTGTGGCGATTTCTTTACCAGTGGAGCCATCTTCCCAAATATCCCAAGGAGCGTGTGTGTGTGTGTGTGTGTGTGTGTGTGTGTGTGTTTACATGTGTGTGTGTTCATGTGTCTGTGTATGTGCGTGCATGTGTGCATGTGCGTGCGTGCATGTGTGTGTGTGTGTGTGTGTGTGTGTGTGTTTGTGTGTGTGTGTTCATGTGTCTGTGTGTTCATGTGTCTCTGTATGTGCGTGCATGTGTGCATGTGCGTGCGTGCATGTGTGTGTGTGTGTACGTGTGTGTGTGTGTGTGTGTGTGTTTACATGTGTGTGTTTGTGTGTGTGTTCATGTGTCTGTGTGTTCATGTGTCTGTGTATGTGCGTGCATGTGTGTGTGTGCGTGCATGTGTGTGTGTGTGTGTACGTGTGTGTGTGTGTGTGTGTGTGTGTGTGTGTACGAGGTCAGTTATCAGTCTTGGGTGTGATTTCTCAGGAACTGTCCACCTTGTTTTGAGACAGGGTCTCTTAATGGCCTGGTGGTCGCCAACTGAGCTTGACTGTGAGTCAAGGCCAGTGAGTCCTGTGTATTTTCTTGTTTCCCTCACTCCAGTGCTAATATTACAAGTACACACCCCCATATCTGTCTTTTTATGTAAGTGTTGGGGATAGAACTCAGGTCCACATGATTATATGGCAGCACTTGAGCAATCTCCCAGCCATTTATGAGATTCTTTTGTAAAAAATTAAAATAGAATTATATCACCATCCTTCTTTTCCTCTCTCTAACCAATCCATGTCCTCACTAATCTCAAGATGATAGCCTCTTTTTCCTTTCATTGTTATTGTTACATATGTGTGGGGGCATGTGTGTATGCATGTGTGTGTCCACAAATACATAAATATAACTTGCTGAGTCCTTTTTTGTTGGTGACATGTTTATGTTTTTAAGGCTGGTCATGCTGCTTTGGATGACAAATGAGAAGCTCATCCCGAGAGAGGCTATTTCTCCTCCCACCAGTCTTTAGATGCCTGCAGTTCTTTGAGTAGGGATGGGACGCCAACCCACAATTTTTCCCACGTCCACGTTAATATGTCCACTGAGAGTGCCATTGTCCTGGTCTTGTTTATGCCATTAAATAAATGATAAGCAAGCTATCCTCCATAGACCCCGAGAGGTTAGGTGAGAGGAGGAGCCTAGGGGGGACTCAAGGCTCTCCCTGGAAGAAGGAAATAGAATAGATTTTATGGGTGAAATTGAAGAAGGTAGGGACAGGATCAGGTGGGATCAGGTAGGGGGAAATAGGGTGGAGGGACAGAGTATGAGGAGAGATGGCTGAAACAGGGGCATGTTGGAGGCTGGTGTGGAAACTTAGTGCAATGGAAACTTCCTGGACTCTATGAAGGTGATCCTAATGAGGACTCCTAATAATGAGGGATATGGAGTCTGAACTGGCCATCTCTTGTAGCCAGGTGAGGCTTCCAATGATGGGACCAAGGTGCATTCAATTGAGTTGTTGGCCAAGGGAGCCCCATAGAAATCCCCCAACAACCCAGGCTGCTGCTATGATAAAAGATTGCTCTCTGAAAAATGGCAGCAGGGCTCCATTACTGAGGACAACACCCACACAACTCACTGAACCTGGAGAAGTCGAGTTGGTGCCTACAGGGAGCAACTTCTCCCATATGTTCTAGTCGCTTTCAAGCAGGAAGGTACTCTGCAAGCTACTGAAAGAGAAGTAGGGACAACAACCCATACACAAATACTTTGATCTATAATCTGTCCTGCCTGCAAAATATGCTGTGGCAATAGTCAGAACATGTAGGAGTAACCACCTAATGTTTGATTTGACTTAAGGCCCACTCCATAAGAAGGAACTCACACCCTACAATGCTTGGGTAACGAAGAACAAGAGACTAGACAGCCCAGAAATTTAGGGTAAAACAAAACACTACTGGTCTTTAAAAAATGAAACAAAACAAAAATCCAATAAAATGATTATTAATAATATTCTGCTATATTCATAGATAAGTGCTGTGTCCAGTTATAATCAAAGAGGCTTCCTCCAGCAGCTGATAGGAACAGATGCAGTGACTCACCACCAGACATTATGCAAAGAAAGAGTCTAAATTGGAGGTCTCCTTCTAATCCCTTCTCTTGGAGCTCAGGGAATCCCTCAGAATAAGAAGAAGCAGAAAGATTATAAGAGTCAGAGGGAATGGAAGACACCATGAGAACATCGCCCTTTGACTCAACTAAGCAAAGTGCATATAAGCACTCAGAGACTAAAGCAGCAAGCATAGGGCTTACACAGGTCTGCACCAGGTCCTCTCTGCACATATAATACAGCTATTAGTTTAATATTTTTACGAGACTCTTGAGTGTGACATGGAGTGGGTCTCTGATTCTTATGCCTGCTCTCTGAACTCTTTTCCTCCTGTTGTGTTGCTGTGTCCAACTTCAATATGGTAGTTTTTGTTCATAATATTACACTTTGTTATGTTTGGTTATTATCTCTTTTAAATCTGTTCTTTTCTAATAAGAGACAGAAAGGGAATGGACTCAAAGAGAGGGAATAAACAAGTCATAAGAAATTTTCCATCATTCCAATCTCCCTAAATTGTACAAATATTAAAAGCCCCCCAAGTATGCAATACACCAAAATCAAAACCAAAAGTGGTACGGCAGCCATCATGCAGTTCAGCTTTGCTGGATCTTTGTCAAGCAGCTGTGCTGGCTTTATGACTTCTGCCATTCCCATCAGATATGGCTGCGCCAAGAAAGATCCATAGAGTGACTGTATTAGAATCTATATACAAAAATATACCACAGTATTCTGAAGCCTGTGAATGCCTCCTGTTCCACCATGTCCCTGTTGTCAGCATTTATGATTTAAACACGATACTTTAGTTACTCATTATCTTTTCCTTAGACAGGAATAGTCCTAACCAGGCACTGGTAAACTGCAACCTATGGGCCAAACATAGCCTATGATCTAGTCACCATACCACAACATGGAGCTGATCTTTAGTTTTCATTTTATCTATAACACCTTTTGCACTGCTATCAGAGTTAATAACCCACATTTCACAGATAGAGATGATTGGTAGATAGAAATATAGATAAATAGCTAATATAGATGATTGATTGATAGATATGTAGAGATAGATAAATATATAAATAATAGATGATAGATAGATGATAAGAGATAGATACATACATACATACATAAATACATATGTACATACATAGTCAGGTAGTTGAAATTTAGCCAAAAAAATGGTTTTAAAGGAAACACTCATTCTAAAGACACATGTTGGCCTATTACTTAGAAGAATCCAAGACTAATTAATTCCTGCTGTATTAAAAGGGAATCATCCCCTAAGAGACTGATTCACAAGTGCTTGAAACAGATACAAAAGACAGGCCCAGACATCAGAATGCTAGCTCACTGGTTCACAGTGAGGAATCCCTTCACACACAGAAATATGCAATGACCATATGCTATGTACCTGCTCTCCTGCCGTCAAGCTAGAGGGAAAGCCGCAGCTGAATCAGAAGCCATTTTCTTGATTTTCTAGGAAAAGGTTTATTGTCAAGTAGGGAAAAAAATAACAAGTACATTATTAGTGCTTTCTCATGTGTAGATAAACTTACAAGATATTAGAAGGCTAGGTGGTAAATATGGAAATAACATACAGGCAGCGAGAAAACTGGAAATTTAATAATATCAGGCTAAGGTAGCAGGACACCCCCATCAGATCACAGTGGTAGTGGCTTTGTCAGATGCAGAAATAGCTCTCAGGCAGCGCTGAGAGCTCTGTACACCACCTCCTTCCCCTGTGCCTCTGAAATGATCCAACTTTCTTTGTGTTGCAATTGTGTCTCTAGACTCGTAACTTACGAAGCCCATGTGAGCTATTACTTTTAGGTGGCTTTACCCACCTCAGTTCTAGGGTGTCGTACGTCTTATATTTGTACACTCTGACAGAAGTCCATCACATGATTATTTATTTATGATTCCTTCCACATAATTGCTATGGGGATTGAACAGTACAGTTTGTGTAAATGTGTCTATTATGATGCCAAGCAGGTAGGAGAGGGGTTCAAGAGTATACTATGAGAGGCAGACATGAGAGCAGTCAACTAGACTACAATACAAGGGGCACTAAGCTATAAATGGTATGTGCAAAGTGCTATGTGTCGTGACCTAGAGATGAACTGTTTCCAGGACTTCTTCAGTGTTCAACACATACAACTGTAATCATTTCTTCACCATTTTTGTCACCGTTCCCTGGCTATAATCCACAGCATAAATATCCGTCTTCACATGGGGCCCAGCATTTAACACTGCACCTTAGAATGCCGTCCAGCTCCTGCTGAGTGTAGCATAAACATCACTTCTCTGTTAACTCAGACCAAGCCAAGATGCTGCTCATGTGGGGCTTACTGCTACCCAATTCCTGCAACTTTTGTTATGTCGATTATTTTCCCACCAAGTTCCTCCAATCCTGGTTTTATGGAACTGATTTCAATGGAAACAAAAAGACTCAAACAGTACATTTGCTGACACTATTTATTTCTTCTAAATGATAGATACCCTGTTTTCCTTTTTTGCATCATGGCATCATAACCCACATGGTAAGCCAGAAAATTTAAAGTCACAGTTGTATCTGAAGAGTCAACACTATCAGGTCTGAAATTGTTCTCAACTTAGATTGCTCCATCCATTCGCACTTATTGATTCATTATTTTTAAGCTGGTTTACCAAATATATCATGGCAGGAATTGTTCTAAAACACTTTAAAGAATATTACCTAGCCACGCTGCAGTGGTGCACACCTTTAATCCCAGCACTGAAGAGACAGAAGCAGGTAGATCTTTGTGAGTTTGAGGCCAGCCTGGTCTACTGAGTGAGTTCCAGGACAGCCAGGGTTACACAGAGAAACCCTGTCTTGAAAACCTAAAGACCAAAAAAAATTACCTCATGCTATTCTCCTAATAACCCTCTGAGAAGCAACCCTACCATTATCCTAGAAGCACAGAAAGGCAACAGTACCCTCTCACGCATGCTGCCTGTGGATATGTACATGAATGCAGGCAATCTGGCTCCGGAGTGTGAGTCATCTCCATTTTGCTCCCCAGTCTCTTAGTTCAGTGTCTCATTATTGCTATCCTAACCAACATAATAACCCAACCGTTAATCTCCCTGTCTCCAGGCTAGTCTCTCCCTGTTTGAACTTGTTATCCACACTTGGATTGTAGAGACCTACTGAGGGTGAAACTAGAGATGAATCAGAAGAGAAATAGCAGCAACTGACATACAGCTCAAGTACTATCTTGTTGAAAAGTGGGAGGCTCTTCTGAAAGAGTGCAGTCTGGGCCACTCACTGAGCCTAATGCAACTGGACTTACGTTCAGGCCTTTAGGAGCTTATAGCAGATTCCACCCTTACCATGAACCCCAGGCAGAGGAAGGGACTTACAAAATAACAAAACAAATGCGTGTAAATCTTCACTTTTATTTTATTAGCAATATCTAAAGCATGTAAATTTCAGGATAATGTGACCCAAAGTCAAGGGAAAATAGAGCTACAAGAAAATCAACAGGTAATTCAATTCACAGAATTAGCAGCTCTGTAATAATCATAGGGTTGTGTTCTAAATCTGGAGTGGCCACCATAGGCTCATGGTTGACACTTGTTCCCCAGTGGGAGGGACTTTGGGGGATCCGAGTAATCTTTAAGAGGTGGCCCTGGCTGGTGGGTATTGGTCATGAAGGTAGTTTCTCATGGCAACACAAAAGTAACTAACATACAATGTAACCAATTTGCTGCAAATGTATGTATGTATATATGTAGTATGTGTATATATATATATATGTGTGTGTGTGTGTGTTGTATGTTTAATTTTATGTGTGTGTGTATATATATATATATATATGAAAAGAGAAATATAAGAGCCAAAAATGGTAAAAGAGTGAAAATTCTAAGTTTTGAAACTCAACTGTCATTGAATGGTCTTAGAATCTGATTGGTTACTAGAAGAAATCATGAGGGCATTTGAATACTTGAATGAAGAAATTCAAACTAAAGGAGCGAGAAAAAGAAAAGAGAAAAAAAAAACCTAAGAACACAGATGGTATGTGAAAGTCAAGTTATCTAGTACATATGCAAATGCAATCTCAGAAGGAGAAGATGGAGGCATGAAAATGGATGAAAGGACTTGAAGAAAATTAGTCAAAAGTTTCCCAAATTTATTTTAAAAATAAACCCACCCATTCAAAAAATTTAATAAACTCTAAACTGTTAAAATTAGAAAAGTTTCATCTAGGCACACTACAATCAAGTTTCTAAATATAACACATAGAAAGTAAGTCTTGAGAGAATTTAGACAAAGATAGCATATTACCCTCAAATAAATCATGATAAGGTGACTTCTGAGGTCTCGTTAGACAAATGTAAGCTAGAAACCAATGAGACATCAGTTCACAAGAAGGAAAGAGAAAGACAGAGAAAGGAAGGAAAACTGATTAGAGAGGAGGTAAGGGAAGTACGAGAAGGAGTCAGCTACTGTAACAAACACCCTAGACCAAGTGACCTTAACAACTGGTTTCCCATAGTTCTGGAAGCTGAAGATAAGGGATTAAGGTGCTGGCACAATTGAGGCATGGTGAGGTCTCCTCCACATTGCAGGCCAATGCTCCTTGTGTTCTTTCACGGAGAAAAGAGGGTAAATTAGTTCCCCACCCGTCCATATGGCTGCTGATCTCACAAGGGTTCCACTACCTTGATCTGGTAACTCCTAAAGGTCATCTCCAAATGCTTTCCTAATCCCTTTCACACCAGGAATTAAATTTCAACACATTAATTTTAAAGGAATACAAACATTCATAGTATAGAGATTATATTCAACTGAAAAATCTTTAAAAATAAAAATGAAGCCAGTTATGATGATACATACTCTAATCCCAAAAGGATCTCAAACATTTAAGTAAGAAATGCAAAACAAAGACATTTTAATTAATGAAGCCTCGAATTCATCATCAGAAAAACAAAACACACACATAATAAAAGTACCTTCAAAGGAATTAACTCCAAAAATAAATATCCCATGAGGAGTCAAAAGATCTAGAAACATATTTGAAAAGAGATTGCTAGGCTGCTAAGTGTCTGATAGCTGTTGCAATATTAGTTACAAGGAAAGCAAATTAAAACCACATTGAGGGAAACTTCACACCCATTAGAATAGCTAAATTTAAAGCAACTGGCCATAAATATTAGCGCTGGGCATGTTCACACATATCCTATCTTCTAAGATTTGCCTGATGTGCACAAAACTTTGGTTTGATCTTCAGAATAATTAAGAAAATATGTAAATAAATAGAAAACAGTATTGGTATTTGTGGAGCAACTGAAAATTCACATATTTTTAGTGGGAGACCAATCACTTTGAAAATATGCAGGGATAATTTTTATAAAATTAAAACTTCACAAGCTCCAACAAGCTGTCTTCTGAAAAAAAATGCATGCATACATGCACAGAAAAACTTATAGAAATGTTTGAAAATCCAAAAATGGAAACAACTTGAGGATCCAGCTGCAGAAAGACAGACAAACAGAAACTATAATGGCACACTTGTACATGGCAAAAATGAATGAAAGACTGAGACAGAAGACAAAATGAAGACATACCAAAAGCACGTGTTAAGGGCATGAACACAAAGTATTTGACTCCATTCATGTGAAGCCCAAGAATGAGGCAAGTGCACTCTGCATGGCCCCAGGAACCTGACAGGACAGATACACAGACACAGAAAATCTCGGATCAGTTGGGCTGGGCTCTCTGACAAAGACCCCTCAGAACCCCAGAAACTTAACTTGTTTATTATAAACAGTTGGACAGGGAGGTGGGGTTATTGCATGCAGCTGAACAAGGAGACAGGGTTAGCTGATCTCCGCAGGACCAGTCTCTGTAGGGAAACAGTCTTCAGGGGGAAGAAAACTATGGTGAGCATTTTCTGCATACACTGTCAACATTTGCACTCAGACCCGAGGAAGGCTTTGCCATCCCTATGAGCCTCACTTGGGGAAGGCTTTGACACTCCCATCGGACTCTTCAAAGTATTTGAGTCCTTGACATGACCATGCCCGTGTCAAGAACACATATTCACTCGGGACTTCACTTGATTCCTTCAGCTAATCTTTGTTGATGGAAATCACAAATGTAGTTAGCTCTTCTTATTGGAACTGAGTAAAACAGAACACGAAGGAAATCCTAGCAAAATTGCTCCATGCCTTCATTTAAATGTGAATTACATTTGTCCAAATCCATCGACCTCTATTTTAAAGATATGTCCTCAGTAAATAAACACCCATTTGTACTGATTACAACTAACATTTACAAGCAAACTTGCTATGTCCCCTTGAAGTGTGTGCCTTCTGCAACTTACAAAAACCTTTTAACCTACACTGCAGTTGATAACATTTAGAACTGGACCCAACCAAGCATTATGAATTTTCATTCATTATTGAAGTTAATGTCCAACTGGTTTTGAGCAT